CTCATTTGAGAAGAATCACACATCCTCATATACACAACACATATCCATCACCCATCCTTTACATTGAAACTATACAGAATTGACTGCATTCTGTGGCTGGAAATCCTCTGAAAAAACTGAGCTCTTGATATTTCCTCCCGCTCATGCACCTTCCGCCAACATTTCGCTTGAGATTGATAACACAACTATCCCCCCCTCCCCTCATGCCAAGGTGCTAGGTGTCATCCTTGACTCAGGCCTCACCTTTCTTCCCCACATCCAATCACTATCCAAATCCTGCTGCCTTCACCTTCATAACATCTCAAAAATACGCCCCTTCCTCACCAATGACACCACAAAATTACTCATCCACTCTCTTGTTATCTCTCGTCTTGACTATTGCAATTCTCTCCTCATTGGCCTTCCACTACACAGGCTTCTCCCCCCTTCAGTCTATCATGAATGCAGCTGCTAGACTCATCCACCTGACCAACCGTTCAGTGTCTGCAACCCCCCTCTGTCAATCCCTGCATTGGCTTCCACTCGCCTAGAGGATAAAATTCAAAATATTAACAGCCACTTATAAAGCCATCCACAACTCTACCCCCGGATATATCTCAAACCTTGTCTCAAAATATCACCCTAACCGTCCACTCCGCTCATCCCAAAAACCTCCTGCTTTCCAGCTCCCTTGTCAACTCCTCCCATACTCGCCTCCAGGAGTTCTATAGAGTCTCTCCCATCCTCTGGAACTCTTTACCCCAACCTGTCCGTCTATCTCCCGCCTTGACTGCCTTTAGGCGTTCCCTAAAGACTTATCTCTTCAAAGAAGCCTATCCCACCTCAATCTAACCACTGAACCTTCACATTCTCAAACAATTCATCCCCACACAGCTACCTACTCATGTATCATTTCTCCCTTTCTAGATTGTAAGCCCTCAGGGGCAGGGCCCTCCTTACCATCTTGTCTTGAATTGTATTGTGATTGTAATGTCTTCCTTATAGTGTAAATCACTGCACAAACTGTTGGAGCTATGTAAATCCTGTATAATAATAATAATAATAATAAAACTAAAAAATAAAGTGTATTGACATGGAAAATTAAGGAATTTATTAAAAATTAATGTTGACCCATTTTCCAAGTGAAAAAGTGAAAGGGCATATTGTTAGTAGAAGGTTGTATGCTTTTGGGCATAGTGGTTGCTATTCTACTGTTTGGCACTCTTGCAGGTAGCTAAAAAATTCCATTGTGGGAGACAAAAGTGTAGAAAGTCTTGGATATGTGGGACATACTTCCACCTAGAGGAGGTTTGGACACTGGCAAAACAAGAATTAAGCCAACCCGAAACAATTAAGCCAACCCACTTTTAACTCTGTCTCCACCTGTCATGCCCCAGTTTTGTGAGCAAGCAGGATATGAGGTCACAAACAGGAAACATATTTAATGTTAAGAACAAAAAGTTTACTTTATTTATTATTCAGTGAGGGACACAGCATCCTATAAAGTGTAACATCCTACAGTAGTCCACCTTGGGGTGGGAAAAGCCTCTAGGAAAATTGAAATATGAGGAATGTCGCTTGAATTAACTCCTAACTAAGGGCATGATGGAGAATTAACAAAAGTGGAAAAGGAAATTGCTGAGGAACAACGTCTGGAATTAACCTAATATTCCATTTAATAGCAGATAAGCCAGGAAGAAAAAAAAAGGGCAAATGAAAGAGTTAAAATATTCAACTAACAAATGTAGAGTACAACCAATCATCCTTCCTAAGGAGGAAACAAGTGGAACAACAACCAACAGGGCTATTCACAAAAGGGTGAAGAGTTTGGAGAAGGCAGGAGAAGTGAACAATCTAGGCCAAAATAGCTGATTTGAAAACATTCTCCAGTTCAGCTCACTTTCCAGTTCAGCTATATTGTCCTAGATTGTTCCCTTCTCCTGCCTTGTCCAAACTCTTCACCCTTCTCCTGCCTTGTCCAAACTCTTCACCCTTTTGTGAATAACCCTGTGAAAAACAGAAAACAGTTTAGGCCAACAGGTATGTTGATCTACTTAAAAGGAATAGGCTTCAGTCTGGCTTACCAAACACTTGACTGCAAGGCAAGGAAACTAGACGCAGGAATGCCATGTTTGGTCAATGGCCATGGCCGTATTTGGTCAGTGATGTCATCCGGCATCCCCACCCCATCATTTACATTCACCTGCCGGCTAGGGATCATTCATTTGCAACAAGTCATAATTCAGGAGTGGATTGTTTTGTCGGGTCTGCATTTTTTGTTTTAGTGGGTTGTCAGGATTGAAAATCATTGTGATTGACAATGGATCTACACTGCTGGACAAGGTGATTGATGATGGAATTATACTGTGGGACTTTTTTTTTTATAAAGGGCTTTTTCTATGGTGACAGTGTTATTATTTACTCTTCACATTTTTTGTAAATGAGTAACCAAGGGTACTATGTAATCCTACTCATTAACATAGGGTGGAAGGCCAGATTCCGATAAGTCCCCCACAAAAACCCCACATTCTTTTGAGGATCGAATGTGGGAATGAGGCTTGTGTCCTTTTAAATACTTAGTACTTAATACTTAATATTAAGGGATTAGCATGGGACACCAATCTGTTTTTTTTGTATGGTTCCCACTTAAAACCCAGGGCTGTGCTCCCCTGCATGGGTCATACACCAGCAGCTGTGGAGGGGAAGGTGCACATGTGAACAGGAAAGAGCAGCGGTGGGGAGAGGAGCAGATTGGTGGTGATAATTCAATTTTCCCAAGTTCACCTGGGAAAGTGGAATTACCCCTTAATATGTAAGATCACAGCAGGTCTAAGTCACCACTGGACTGCCAAACCATAAGTCTAAAAAGATGGCTGTATCCTCATTGAAGAAGCTGTGGATGATGAATAGAAGGGAAGATACTTAACAAAAGTGTATGCGCCCTCTACATTTTAAAATATCTAATGTGTACTGATTGTATTATTATTTTCTACAGATACATAGGTTCTTGCAGAAATCCATATTTATTTTAAAAAAACCTAAATAAAAGTAATTAATTAAACTATTAAACTGTTATCTCCTCTGGAAATATATTACATTGGCAATAACAACAACAACAACAACAAACAGCTCAGATGATTCTATCAATTAATAGGTCCCTCAAGGGTCTCTCTGCTGTTATGCTTGTAGTATAAATTAAAGTGTTGGCCTCCAACCTCTACACTGCAGCCTAATCTCCAGTGATTATTATCTTTTGTCGGAGTCACTACACCAATCAGGTAAATAGATTTCAATGCACATTAAGCAATTGGTAAAATTAATTAATTCAGAGCATAAAAATGTGACATATAGGTAGATGCCACAATGTTTAATATTTAAATGTTAAGTTTCTTATGATCATCATGTTTTTTTTACATTTAGGAGTTTCAAAATAACATTAGGAATAATAATAAGAACAACAATATTTTTGACTATTGGATAAATGTATATATGCTTCTATATCTTAATTCTTAACTGTAACAAGGAGTTTACTACTGACAATATATATGTTTACAATTTGTTTAAACTAGTTGTTTATATGGACATTAAAGTGGGCACTAAACTCAGGAGTTAAATCTCAAAAAAACATTCAAGTACCTTAACTCTGAACAACAATGTATCTTATTTGGGTATCACTCGGCTGTAGATCCTCCAAGCATCTCTGAATTGGTGCTGACACTGTCCTTCCTTCGCGGGGGTGGCTACTTTTGTTCTCCATGGTCCCTGTGTGTGTTGTAAAGTATATGAAGAGAGAGGTTTGTTGCACTCCTTACCGGACAGCCCCGAATATCAGGGAAGGGTACTTGGAATGACCACGGATGGCGCCGCCAGTTGCAGATAATATAGAAATGTTATCAGCACACCAGACTCCTTCAAGGATAATCAATCGTGGATTTATTCAGAACTTATGTCACATACACAAGCGCTTTCGGGACCACACAGGGTCCCTTCATCAGGCATAGCAGTGAGGTGTGTGTTGTAAAGTAGCCACCTGCTCCAAGCTCACTCCCGTGATGGACTACAATCTCAATACAAAATAGTAAACTAAACATGAAATTGTAGTACATCCCGGGAGTGAGCTTTTAACTCCTGAGTTTAGTGTTACTTTAAGAAATCCTATAAAGAAATCTTAACCAAGTTGGCTGTAGCTTTACAAAGCAGTAATCAAGTTATTAAACCATTAGCAACTATTTTCATTGATTACAGTACAACAGCCATCAAAGTTGAGGATCTGTTAAAGTAAAAGAATTAGATGTAGTGTACTTCCAGCCAAAACATTTATTTAGTTGTGGATAGAGAAAGCAAGGCATAGAACCCCTGTAAAGTTTTAATATATGGAGCTCCATTAAAGAGATTTACCTTCAATTACTGAATTTGTGACAAGGGTTTCACCAGAAATGAAGTGAAGGAATAACTGCAACAGTTACATATAAAATACAAAAACAATAAACCGTTGAGAGGGTTTTTACCTTTCTACTACTAAATAGGATCTTTTTCATTTCTGGCTGTGTTTCTATTGGAGAATTAGTACCTGAAACTGGTAAAACTGACAGAAAAAGGCAGGAAGTAATGGCAAACCTCTCTAACAGAGTCCTAGAAAGTAGTAACAATTCAATAGGGTTCCATATGCTTCCCAACTCTATCCAAAACAGAAACGTTTTTGGCTGAACATACAATTCAGACCTTCTTTATAAATCTCCCAGTCTATAAATTGATCTTCAAATGTCTAAAAATGTGGCAATAAATGAAGATGTTGATGTATCTTGTAGATTAACCATGCGTGTGTTCACATATCACAGTAAATGAAGATAATGTTGGAGAACCAGACAGAAGTGATGGAATTTAAATTACTCGGGTTTTCAAATCTTTACATATTTCAGATTCCGGTCTTTCTGCTGTTCACCGTGATTTATACAGCAACAATAACCGGAAATTCTCTCATCATCGTCTTGGTATTGGTTAGCCATTCTCTGTGCAGCCCCATGTATTTTTTCCTCAGTCATCTTTCAGCATGTGACATTTTAATCAGCACAAATGTTGTCCCTAACACACTCCAGATTCTACTAAAAGGTTTCACCTATATGTCGGTTCAAAGATGCTTTGTCCAGCTGTATTTTTTTGGTGCTTCGGCAATCATAGAATGTTGTCTCCTCTCTGTGATGTCCTATGATCGGTATTTGGCCATTTGTCACCCACTGCACTATTCCTCCATTATGGCTTTCCGTCTTCCTTATTATCTTGCTATTTGGTCTTGGTCAATGGGTTTCATGGTAGCCATTATCACCGTTTACCTTCTACTTGAGGTTCAGTTTTGTGGTCCAAACACCATTGACCATTTCTTCTGTGATCTTTCTCCTCTGTTAGGGATTTCCTGCTCAGATTCATTGGCGGTGGAAATAGCAGTGTCCTTAGTGGCTGGTGTAGTTGGCCTCTTACAGTTTTTGTTTGTTGTTGTTACTTACATCTGCATCTTTAATGCCATCTTTCAAATTCCAACCAAAGCTGGGAGACAGAGAGCCTTCTCCACCTGCAGTGCTCATTTGTCTGTTGTATGTACGTATTATGGATCACTCATTTCTCTTAATATAGTGCCATCCACAGGGTATTCTTCAAATATAAAGAAAGCTTTATCAGTTCTGAACACTGTGCTGACCCCATTATTCAACCCTATCATATACAGCCTGAGGAACAAAGATTTACAGGAAGCCTTATGCAAAGTGGTGTTCTTAAGGAAACATCTCAAAAACAGCTGATAGTTCAGTTATAAAATATATTTACAGCTAAATATTGTATTCCTATGTACCTAATGGATCTCTTTGAGGCTTTAAATGTTTGATATTTTTGTATACAATGTTTGTTTACAAATAACTGTTTCATACAGAGTTCTTCCATGATACGATGTTGAAATTTATGTCAAGAAAGACCGCTACCAACTTTGCATTTGTTGAGATTTCTTTAAATATTTTTTTTAAATAAAATTTTTGTTTACAAATAATAGTTTTTATACAGAGTACCATGTTTGCATTTGCTAAGATTCCTTCAAATTAAAAAAAAACTAACAGGCACCACTTTTGCTAGCAGGACAACAAAGAGGGTGTATCCACAGATGATTTCTACATTAGTGATAGATAGGCAAATAAAATATTTTGATGTGTAAGATTTCATATTTACATAATTAAAAATCAACAACTAATTAAACAAAGAAAATATATGCAAACCACTATACATTCCTCTTGTTGTATTTAGAAAATGATTAAAGAATGTAAGTTTGTAAGTTAATAAAAAATACTTTTCCACATGAAACAACACATTTAGTCCCTATGCTCTTTGTGTTAAAGAATATATATATATCTGATACAAAATTATAATATTTTCTCTCTCTTTTTAACGTCAACATTATGTATTCTCGCTGCAGTTACTTTCCTCACTTTCCATTATAGTTAATACAGTCTTTACACTCTAAGGTTTTGTAGTACACATAACCATTTAATCAGTGTATCCTATACCACTGGTAATATTAGAATTGTGCTTATGAGATGTTATTGATCTGACCGCTAGAGGCCACAGCACCCATATACAGTATGAAGAGGAGCTGACTGTGTTCATTTAGAAAGTAAAGGATCAGTAAATATGAGATCCTCCAATCACTTTGCCAAATGACCCAATCTTTCCTGCAGTGTAGGGATGGGCTCGATGTTCGAGTCGAGTGTGAGTTCGACTCGAACATCGGCAGTTCATGTGCTCTGCAAACACACGAACTGTCAGGGCGTTCGGTGGGCTATTCACCCGCTGAGCCCCCCACAAGGCACTGTGCACTGCACAGTGCCTTGTGAGCCCTGATTGGCTAAAGCCTTTACCTGACCACAGGTCAGGTGCAAGACTTTGCCCAATCAGGGCCTATTACTCTGTAAGAGCCATGATTGGGCAAAACCATGATTACTTTGCCCAATCATGGCTCACCTGTCAGATGTAGTACAACCGTAAACAGTTGGGCAGAGGTAGCTGTCACCACTAGCTCTGCCCAATTGCTTATATGTTGTCGACATCTGTCAAACGATGGGCGTAATTTTTTTTTAAATGTAATTTTTTCTATTTGCTTTTTATTGTTTTATTTTGTATTTTGTCGAGTCGTCATTGTCATAGACAACGTTGGACATTGTTATTGACCTTAGGATTATGTCGGTGGATCCATTTTTTGGGGTTTCTTTTTTTTCACAATTAATGACTTGTCAAAAACTTGTCTTTTAGGTTTTTTTTTTCAATTAAAAGATTTTCACTGGCCTCTTTTTTAAAACTTGTATTTAACCTTTTCGTGAATGGATAGGAGTACATGTAACCTTCACTCATTCACAAGGGGGGGCTGTATCAATAAGCCCCCTGCCCACACCCCCACGACCAATGCCACAGGGCTTGTGGGGAAAAGAGGCCCTTGTCTCCATTAGCATGAGGACAAGGTAATTTTCCAGGGTCAACCAGTGCCGAGTGCATGTGGTCTGGTATGGGGGAGGGGGGGCTCGCTCGCCCTCCCTCTCGGGCCCGGCCAGGCCTGTGCTCGGAATGGTATGGAATTTTAGGGGTACACCACTTTTTTTCCTCCCATTTTTGTGGGTGGGGTCCCTCCTCAAAATTCCTACCAGACCTTAAGGGCCTGGTATGACTTTGAGGGGGAACCCCACACACTTTTTTTTTTTACATGGGGTCCCTCCTAGCATTCCTACCAGACCTAAAGGGTTTGGTATTGTTTGGGAGGGGCAACTGCACACTTTTTTTTTCTTTTTAAATGTGATTTTTTTCTTTACAAATGTAATTTTTTTTGCAGCAGGTTCTATATATCATTACAGATGTGTGACTTTACAGGTAGTTTAAGGGGACCCCACAGGCATGATATTTACAGGAATTTTTTAATTTTATTGTTTGTCTTTAAGTGATGATAAAATCACTGCTTCTTTAAAAACGGTACCTTTTAAACAATTTTCTTCTTCATTGATTCCTGTCCCCCAGGGCATTACCCGTATCCCCATACACTTTGTATGGCCAATACATTGCATATAAGCCTTCAAAATGGGGTCATTTGATTTTTCAAAGTTCTAGCCCCTTACACTTGCATTGAGTTTGAGTTTGAATTCAAACTTTTTCAATGTTCTGAAGTTCGAATTCGATCCGAACAGGCCCATCACTACTGCTGTGTACTGCTGCCCCACCTGTCACCCGATCCTCCCCATTGGACACCACAGTATGCTCCCCTCCATGTCCCCTGTACAACCCTCTGTCTGCCAGTACAGGTGGGGGAGAGCCGTGGGGGAAATCAGAGGGCACTCACAAGATGGGTTGTTAAGGTGAATAGCCCGTACAGCAGCCCGTACAGCAGCCCTTCACTTCGACTGAACCGAAGGGCTCAGGTGGCCAAAATGAGCTGAAGGATTAGCCGAAGCTATGGCTGGATCCTTTGGCTCTTCTGTGAATAACCCCCTAAACGTTTTTTTTTTAAACATCTTTCTCCCTACTTTTTAGCCGCTTTTGAAAAGTTTCCAAAATAAGGTGTAGCACATAGTATATACTAGCTATGAAGATAATTTTATTTAGAAAATATATTGTTTGTATATACAAATATAGTGTTAATGTCTTTATGACAAATATCTGTCAGGTTGTTAATGCTGTCTGAGTTCCTGCTAGTTAGATTTACTTTATGTACTTATGCAGGTAACCATTGTTACCAAGACAGAAAATGATGGAAATCACAAATTGTTTTAATTTCTCACAAGAACACAAGGTAAGGATTAAAAGCCTCCTGAAGCCTGTAGCCAGCTTGTTTAAAGTGACAGTCAGCACTCCTATTCAGATCTGTGTTTAACATTCCCAAACTGGAGCAGAACGGGGCTTTCAGAGCTTCAAGAAAGCTGCTCAAAGCTTGCCAAAAGCGTCAAAATGCTTGAAAAGTTTGATGAAGATTTGATATTCACACTGCTGTTATACAACTTGTAGCTTGTATGAAATGGGCCTTAAGCTCGCCATACACTGCTTAGATTTGCAAAAGAATTTTCGTATTTAAATTTGTTCAACTTTCAAGTCAAGTGAATGATCGATTTAGACCAAAATTAAAAAAGCGCAGCATGGGAAATTATTCTCGAATGAAAATCTAGCATGTGGTTTTCTTTCCAGAAACTCTATTCATTGATTACATTTTGGTGGACATTCATCAAGTGTCTGATGGCATTATCGGGTGGTAAAGAAAGATCTTTTGTAAGAACGTTCATTCAGAAATATATGTATGTATGTAGTGTATGGCCAGCTTTAGAGGGTAATGTTCCTCACTTTGTAGAGATAAATTCTTATACTGTAAATTCCGGCTGTGTCTCTGGGACAGGAAGTGGAAATCTGCTCAGTGGGACTCAGGCAGCAATATATAATTAAATAAATCAACTAGCAGGGGTCAGGGGTTTTAACTAGGGATGCAGAATACAGATACTTTCCGAGCTCCAAGACTAGACTGGAGAAAAATTCAAAAGTTAGGAGGTGGCTGTCATTTGTGAGGAGCACACGTAGCTGTGTACATCTCTGTCTTAATATATGATTTTGTTTTTATAAATATATATAAGGGATGCACCAATACCATTTTTTGCGAGTACGAGTACTGATACATTTTTGTTTATTGTCATGTGACAGTTTTTCTAAAACAATACAGACTAATGATTTCAGGACAGTGGTGGAGCGTCAGAGACAGGTCCCAGCTGCAACTTCTGCAACCCCGGTAGTTCTCGTGAAAGTGACAAGTATCGGTACGGGTATCTGAAAAGTATCGGTGCATGCCTAGTTTTAACTTTTTCATACTCTACCCAAAATGAAAGAAAAAAGTCTGCTTATATATACACTTTGAGTATTATAACCTTTAAATTATAATTTTAGGGACATATCCAAAACAAGAGCATAATCTCTATATAACATCACCTCATTCAAAAAGCGACGGGGAAGCTTCCCATGCAAAGTGCAAATTCCCTTGCAAAGTGAACAGCCTATTTGCCTTAAGTGTATCAACCCTTTCATATCCAAGGACAACAGTGTTGATACTTCATAGATAACAGTATGGTTAATGACACTTGTTACCCTAGGATAACATGTGTCTTACTAAAAGGATCACCAGGTCAAAATAAAGGGAAAAATACATGAAAAATGAAACTAATGCGGCCACCACATCTAAGAGTGATTTACATACATTTTAAGCAACATATTTCTAAAGCAATCAATCTGACAAAGACAAAACATTCACTGCAGGTGCATTGTCCTGGTGCCTGTGTTTGACAGTGACTGTTTCATCACCAGTGAAAGTTTGGTAAATACAAATTAAATATATGCCCATACGTGTTTTTTTCCCCCAGTTGGTCTGGAATTTTTTTATATATGTTTATTGATATTTAGGGGGTGATTTACTAACCTAAACACACGCACGCACTAGGTGCGAAAAAGTAGATTCCACCAATAGATCATGCTGGGAGGGAACACACTACAGAGGTGTATACTTGTGCGTGGCGTGTCTCTAAGGTTAGTAAATCAACCCCTTAATGTCTTTACATACTTTGCCTCTTAGGTATTATTTTCTATTGAGACACTGGTACTTACAAAAAAGCAAAATATTTGATTAGAAAATAAATCTCCAGTTAATCCATGTTTACATTCAAACAAGTCAGAATAATTTTTTTTCCGAGAAGGATATATGCATAGTTAAATACCAGAATGTAAACATCTAAAATTGTAAAAA